ATGCGCAGACGTCTGGTTTACAAAAACGGAGAGGTCAACATCACGCAGACCAACATCCGCAAACGCAGACGCCGGTATCTGGCAGATATATTTACTACATTAGTAGACATCAAGTGGCGGTACAACCTGATGCTGTTTGCTATGGCTTTCACATTGAGCTGGCTTATCTTCGCTCTCATTTGGTGGCTGGTTTGCTTTTCACATGGGGATCTGGACCACCTCGATAACAGTAATTGGAAACCTTGTGTTATTGAAATCAAGTCTTTCACTTCGGCTCTTCTGTTTTCAATAGAAACTCAGCACACGATAGGCTACGGTCACAGACATACAACAGAAGAGTGTCCGGAAGCTATAGTTTTAATGATGTTTCAGTCGTGTTTTGGCGTCATATGCCAAGCTCTGATGACCGGTATAGTCTTCGCCAAACTCTCCCGGCCAAAGAAACGCGCAGAGACGCTTATGTTCAGCAAAAGTGCGTGTATTTGTAAGCAGGACGGTGACTTATGTCTTTTGCTACGCGTGGGAGACATGCGTAAATCTCAGATCGTGGAGGCTCATTTGCGGGCTGTTCTCATTAAGAAAAAGATTACAAAAGAAGGCGACGTACTTCCCTTGTACCAGTTTGACGTTGATTTGGGTTTCAACGAAGGCCGGGATAGACTCTTTCTGGTTTGGCCTGTTATAATTGTGCACAAAATAGACCAGGACAGTCCCTTTTGGGAGCTCTCACCAGAAGATCTTCACAGAGAGCAGTTCGAGCTGATTGTCATTCTAGAGGGTATAGTTGAAAGTACTGGTATGACAACGCAAGCGCGGAGCTCCTATCTACCGGGGGAAGTACTGTGGGGCCATCGATTCGAACGACTTGTTACATTCCAGAAAGAAAACGGTCAATACCAGATCGACTTCTCACGCTTTCACAATACAGTTCCTGTGGATACGCCCAACTGCAGCGCCAAGGAACTCGCGGAAATGACGGCTAGCGGACAAACCCCGGAGCAAGCATTCTGTGGTGCGCGACCAGCAGATGATGACGACGACGACGATGACGACGATGAAGTAGAAGAAGGAGAGAACGCGTCATTGGCTTCTAAATCAGACAGGTACTTGAAGAGCAACGGCCCGTACGTAATCAAACGCCACGGCGCCGCCCAAACTGAGTACTTTGGGGACGATTACGATTCCTTAGCTAGCAAACAAAGCTCTAGCTCTGATATCGATATGTAAGAAATATCTGAAACGTTGCTATGACAACGAAAGACGCAGGTAAGAATAGCGAGGGAGTTCTCTGAACGTGTTGGCTTGATGGCGTGTTTTAGTACCAGATTTGCATCCTTCTTCCATTTTGTGTTTCCGCAATAGAAGTTAGCAACTGTTACATTTCTCCCCAAAAATTAACACACACAGGACATTAACTACCATAGTGAAAAATTCCTCAAATTTCAGAAATTAACAAAAATAAATAAGTTAAAGCATTAAACTAATAAAAGTTGGTTGCATAACCTGCTAAGCGCTTTTATAGAAAAAAAAATCATTTCCCGGTTTTTAAAATGCGTCAAGCAGAACAACTAATAGCGTGTGATCTTTATCTTCTGTAAACTACGGGGAAAGTCCTGGTTGTTCGTCCACTTCCGAACGCTGATCAAATTTCAACATTTGAGTTTAGCGCGCACATACATTTAACTGATCGTGGTTATTTTTATGCAGATTGTTTGTTCTTCTCTTCTTCAATACACTCTGACTTCCAAGGAAACACCCTAATTAGTCGCCTTTTACGACATGCTTGTTAAGGGGCAGTGTGTCTTTTCTGATGGCATATGGAGCTTCGATACCTAAATAGTGATAACTTGAACAACGCACGCACACACACACACACACACACACACATTATATATATATATAGATATATATATATATATATATATATATATATATATATATATATATATATATATATAGTGGCAGATTGATTCGTGTGGAACTAAAGTTAAATGCATTGGAAAGTAAATGTCTAAGAAAAATAATGAAGATAAAATGGGAGAAAATTTTAAAGAAGAAGTCAGACGATTAAAGACATTTATTGACTAAGACCTGTATAGACCACAGTACGACAAAGAAGGTGGACATATATTGGGCACACTCTAAGACGAAAAAAAGTAAACAATAACAATGCATTCACGATAATGAAAAACAAATAGTGTGAGAAAAGCAAGTCATCCATAGAAAACATTAAAATGTGAAACTACAAATAGTGGGCTGATCCTTATATGACGTCTAGCTGCACACTAAGGATGATGATGATAAAGATGATATGGATTAGCACTTAGTTATTAAAAGCCAGTAGTCTGTTCATTAGTTAAATGTAGCCAATAATGTGGCAGGACATGGTCACAAACCCTGAGCGTTTGGAAAGAGTAGGTATTACAATAGTTTTCTCCATTCTCAATCTACGAAAGCTCAGGTGGCTGGGTCATACCTGAAGAATGGAGGATAGCAGAGTCCCTGAGGACATCCTCTATAGTGAAATAAAGAAGGGTAGAAGAGGCTGACCCCCCATTACGATATAAAGATTGTGCACGCGGGACATGAGTGATATATATATATTGAGGTGGACTCGTGGAAACAAAATGCCATGGACCATCTTGTATAGAGGGGGCAGATCAAGAGCAGAATGAGAACAAAGGAAGAAATAATTGCAGAAAGAATGAGAGCTGGACGTCTGAGAAAAAACACTAAACACTAATCTTGACTACAATGGTCCTTAAATCCTATGCTATAATTGTGTAAGACGTTTCTCAACGCGGGCGGGTCTCGCTAATCACACTCGCCATCGCCATGGGCTGTGAGTGCCACGCCTCTTCATAGCGCAGTATAACACTATCGTCCAGAAAGACGGAAAAGTGCCAATCTAAAATCGTGTAGAAGATCAAAAACTGCGCTCTAATAAGGCAGGGGTTTCCCGATGAGTTCAAACCATCGGCCCCCTGTTATTTTCCCAGATTTGCCAGGAAACCCATATTTTGTAATACGATTCTTTTCTTAAAAAAAAGGCTTGTGTTTAGCGTCATTGACTGTTGTTTGAGCCTCCTCACTGGCAGCAGATCCCAACTAGAATGGACCGAGTACAAAATAAGTCCATGAGACTCAACTCGGCTGCACAAAAGACAAATCCTGTCACGCCATGCGATTTGTCGTGGGCTTGTTAACGGTGGTTAACAAATGCAAAGTTGCACAAGTCAAGGCGTACATGAAGGTATCGGCAGACGTTAACCACCCACTGCACAAAGTTATACACGAACGACACACAAACAGTGCGCTTCAAAAGAAGCCGCTCCAGTATGGCCAAAGCGGACGTTTTAATCTAGTAGGTATGTGACCTAGACGAGATCAGTCATGAAAAAGAATGAATGAATAGATTTGTAGACATGCATGGTGTTTCTAAGGTTGTCATCACACTGGGAAGGTACTGCAGGGATCAGATTCCTGCGAACATAAACACGGAGCTAAGGACACTGATAGATAAGAATTCACACCTATAAGGCATTTATCATCTACGCAAATGGATCCGGGAAGAGCGGATCAAGATCAGCGTGGGCATACACAGTGCACAGAACAGCGCAACAATTACAAGAGAACAAGGTCGCGCACCAGGCAACTACGCCAAGCATGACAGCGGAGATAACCGCTGCTTCTGAGGCACTAGCATAAGCAGCAGTGCAAACAGCCAAGCATAGAGTAATTGTATCAGACTCCATGAACAGGCTTCAGATGATAGCAACAGGCGATATGAGCTCTGAATGAGGTAGTGGTGCATTAAAAAATCGCACTTAACACCCGTCACCTGGATCTACACACCTGGTCATGCTAGCGTAACGCGAAATGAGCGAGCGAACCAACTGGCATCCAATGCACCAATGCTTATGGGAAAAAAAAACATGCACAGAGCAGATATCATCAATACTGTACGGACTGGGCTAATGGATAATGACGAATCTCTGACACTAACACGATTGCGTGACACGGGAGTAAAGCATGATAAAGGACGTAATGCCGCATTCGAGGTCGTGATAGGATGCATTATAACCAACTTCTCATGTTAAAAATTAGTAGAAGTACTTTGGAGTGGTTGCTGCATGTGAGGACTGAGCACGCATGGAAATGCTCAAGTATGCAGTGACGTCGATTGTGATAACAAAACATTTCAATGCAGTATCTACTCTACTTAAGACTTAGATCCATTCCAACTAACAGGTCGCATGTCGAACTGGTAGCAAGTTAAATCTATATTTTTAACACTATATTTATTCAAGAGACTTATAAAAATGGTATATAAAACACAAAGTAAATCTATGTACGCATTAATGGACCCTACCACGCTTAATGCACTAGTTCCGGACAGGTTTTGACCCAACCAATGTTGTTTACTATTTTTATAGACTTATTGTTTGTGGTCGTAAGTGTAGATTGTCGTAAGTTGTATAGGCTGTAATTCGAGGAAAATATACAGCCATACCGAGGAACGTATGATAAATTATACATGTTAGATATTAATATATGTATGGTAAACATGATTGCATTATTGAAGTTCTATCTCCCCCGCCCCCTCCCCGCCCCCTTTTTTTAAATGACGTACCTTTAAATTTGCTTGATATCTACATCTTCCGACAAATATAACGATACATATCTACACGCACTCATTTACAATCTAACTTCAACATCTTCACTTTGGATATCGCTTCAATTTGCTGTCATACCGCTTTGCAATGATGCCCCCGACATTGCAGTCTACGTGTTAGACAGGTAAATAGGTATAGCTAACAGAAACTGCCTACGTGCGGTAACAGAAACGCACCACTGCAACTTCTCCTGGCAGTTGTCGTAACATGTCACTGGCGGAAATAACCACCAAATAAAAAACCAGACCCAAATGTAGACGCAGACAAAATTCTGAACCCGAATGTACAGCTAAAAGTACAGTTGAAAAAAAAAAAAAAAGAACAAATGAGTGCTTGTAATATTGTTTCCTGTCCTTCTACACGATTTCTTACCGACAGAGTAGCTTACGGTATGACAGAAAATAAAGCACTGTACTTAGTAAGATAAGAAAGCAGTGTGAAGAAACTCACTTATCGTCTCGGACAGGTAAGTTTAAAATAAAAAAAGGCAACATGAACGAGAATTATAAAAAGGAAGTGGATATAACCCATGACAATAGTGGGAGAAAGACATATTCGATACACAAATAACCCTTCCCCCCCCCCCCCCTTTTTCCCCCCTTTTTTCTTGTCTTCCACACACACAGCCACAAAACAACAAAAGCAACAACGGAGCAAAATGTAAATAGCTTAGCAAACGAAACAATTATAAATGCATAAACGATAAAAACAAACAAGGATGGATAACCAAAGAAAATAATAAACAGAGTTTATGTAGAGATATTGAAGCAATTCTGTTGGAAAAAAGAATTCAGAATGTATGTGTTATTAATGTACGGATTGGTTATGAAAGCCTAATTAGCCAATTTCAGTTCCATTGTTTCAGAATATAACAGCAAAAAGCGAAAAAAATGCCCCCCCCCCCCCCCCCCTTTTTTTTTCCCCCAATGAAGTTACCCTCTCAGATTATATCAAATTCATTAGAATAACGTGTGCATGCTCTAATTGCAGAAAACGCAATCCAAAAAATAAACAAACAACTAAAAACAACGTAGAAATAGGCACCCTACCAGGCATGTCGTAAGAGGCGACTAAGGGTAGGGTTGGGCTTGAGGTTGGCTACCTCATCCTGTAAAAACCATAGCCACAAAAACCAACCAACCATGGATAAGTCAAAAAGAGAAGCAAATAAAATCCAGCCAACCAAGATGAGTGAAGGCTCTTCAAATAGAAGAAGTATGACACGGTGTGGAGAAAGCCGTAAGGAGTACGTACCTCCTCTCAGCTAGGAAAACCTCCAGAATTGGCACCTGGAATGTAATAAAGGAAGGCCAAAAAACACATGGAGAAGAGAGCTGGAGAACGAGGTTAGAAAGATTGGGAGGACATGGGGAGAGCTCCATGCAATGGCGAAGGATAGATCGACTTGGCGTGAGTTGGTTGAGGGCCTATGCTCCATTGGGGGATAGAAAGGCAGAAGAAGAAGAAGAAGGATCACTAAGGGGATATGACGTCGTCAAATACACTGGTTAAACGTGCATCAAAAAGCAAGTGCGGGGAGATAAACATTAA